GAAGGGGAGGGGAGGAGGGAAGGGGAAAGGGAGGGGAGGAGGGAAGGGGAAGGGCAAGGCCTGAGTCTCACCAAGAACTCACAGGCAGGCACATGAGTTTTAAGAGATTCATTGGTGCAAAAGAGAAGGTGCCCTCACAGCAGACCCAGGCTGCAGTGTGCTGCCTTGGGCACTTTGTACATCAGTATAGAGTTTTCCAGGTACAGCCGGGCTTTTCCAGCATCCGGGGACAGGGAGGGCTGTGACCCACTAGGGGTGACCCAGGGCCAAGGGTGGGCGTAACCTCCAGGGGACTGCCAACTCTGGGAACCGTCCTTGCTGGGGGCCAGTGGTCACGGCGCCACGGGGCTGTTTCTGCTATGGCTGTTTCTGCATGGCTCCAGGTTGTTTGGGAGGCGGAAGTATGGGTATTTGGCAACAAGTCCCTGGCTATGGTACTGCGTCTGTGGCTTTATTATTCCTTCCCCATCTGAGGGCACTCAATTCCTGGGTCACTTTCTGTTCGGGAGATAACATGGCAGTCATTTACAGCTAGATTCTGATTCTGTTTTCTGGGCAGGAATTGGCAAACTGGCTTACAGCCCAAACTTTGGCCCACTGCCTATTTTTATGAATAATATTTTGTTGGAGCACAGCCATGCTCATCTGTTTACCTTCTATCCCCAGCTCTTTCACACTACAACAACAGTTGGAACTCTCAATCCAAAGCCTGAACAACTTTGTAGCTGACCCTTCAGTCTGATAACCCCGTGAGCGCTACAAGCTCCCCTAGACACTGGTTAAATAAAACATAGATCAACACCACAGTGAAATGGTAATCTGACATTTACTGAGAGTTTCTAATGGTCTTATAGAGATATTTCAATATAATGCTATGATTTAAGTACATGAAATGGTAAATACAGTCTTCATGGGGGGGGGGATTGGTAATCAGCACATCCAAAAATTGATACTCTGTAAACATGAATAAATACTGTCTCACTATATCCTCTTAAACCTCACTTTAAAGCCTGTTTTTAAATTCAGCTGTTACAACGAAGTGCGTATTTCCCCACTGCATCCAGAGGCAGTGGCCACTTGACAAAGGCCCCATTCGGTCCAATTTCAAGACCTCAGTAAGACACAAAGTGCTTCCTTGTAATAGATCTACCCACCTGAGACTGGACTCTACCATCCCATGCCTGGCTGTCTGAGGATCATTATCCTCACTGTGATGTACTGAGTTCTGAGTCCATTTTATGATAACTGAATTAATTCGATCTGTTCTACACTGTCCTTCCTACTAAAACTTCACTCTGCTGTCACTCCAGAAAGGACCTTAGGGAGCTGGGACTATAATGCGCTGTGTCGTGTTGGGGGGAGGGGAGACATATCCACCTCCGATCGGAGGTAGGGCTGCTTTTACAACACACAGGGCCACTAGGCATCCACGTGGAAGCCACCTCCTCAGGAGCAGCAGCTGCCCGGGAGCAGAGGCTCATCTGTGCCAACTCGGGCTTGGAGAACAGAAGATCTGCAGGTGCGGGGAGGGGAGATGGGAGGCCCAGCAGCATGGAAGATGCGGCAGGTATAGACATCCGGTGACGTTACACCAATGTTCTGTTCCCTTGGCTCACATCCTCCCCAGACCCGTACGAGGACGGAGTGCCCACTCCCCACAGGGTAAGCAGAATCTGATGGCAGTTGGTGCACAGTGCTACTGTGGGGCTAACAGGCCAGAGACAGTGACGCTGGAAAACGTAAGGAAAGAGGCAGACACAGGTGCAGACATGCAGCCAGCTCTGTGGGGACCTGCTGCACCCGCAGAAGCCCCAGCCACACTGTGCTTTCCTGCTTCGTTCTTGTCCCAGATCAGAACTGCCCTGATCTGATGGTCTGACTGGCACAGAGGGCTGCACACCTGTATCTGGGTCACTGGCCTCACCCTCCTGCATCCGTGTCATAGGGCTCACCACAGTTCCGGGCGGTCGGGTCATTAGAGCCCCTGACAGTCCGGTCGGGCCTCCTGGTCTGATGGGGCTGACACCCACCCTCAGGACCTGTCTGTGTGCGCCCTGCTCCCCACCGACAGCACACACAGCCTTCACTGCTGGCTCCTGTGGGGAGCTCTCTCTCAGACCTCTGTGGTCTGCAGGGACTTTCCTGTCCTCTGGGAACACAGTAGCCCCAGGCACCATAAATTCACTTAGCCCTGGGTCACAAATTGCCAGCAAACGGTCAGACTTCCTTCCTTTGTTTGCATAAAGTTCCCAGTTGAAAGTATGAGCCTTCAGGACACATCTTATCTGGGCAGGGACACTCGGTGTCTCTGCAGTCCCTGGCAGGCTGAGCAGGGCTGTGAGGGAGGGCAGCTGTGGTAGGGAGAGCTCAGGCAGCAGAGATGCAGCTGGTCCCCCTCCAGGCAGCCCCTCTCCCCTCCCTCTATAACACTCTAATGCTACAGGAAGGCCTGGCAGTAGACGCAAGCCCTGGGGTTGGGAGGGCGGGAGAGGGAAGCCATGGCCAAGGGTGATGGCCCAGCCGCTTCTTTCCTCTCGTCTCCCACGGGGATGAGGCGCTCTAGGCCTTTGCTGTAAATTAACAAGGAAACCATGTTCCTCTAACTCAGCCGTTCTGCACTGAGGCTCCCCACTCCAGGCTGGTGGCCCCAGAGGGTTTCCCGGGACCCCCAGGGCCGCCCCAGCCCCCAGCGCCCACACTCCCAGCAGCTTCTCTCCAGCTGGAGAAAGGACCAGGAAACTGAATCTGGGTTGCTGGTAAACCTGGATGGGGAGAGAGCGGCGGCCCCTGGAGAATGTTTCTCCCCCAGCTGGACAACACTGCCCCACGAAGGCTTATCAGCGCACGCAAAATGGAAAAGCAAGTCCTGCGAGTGGTGGGACAGCCTGGGAAGTCGGGCTGGAGCAGCCATCGCCCACTGTGGCGTGCCGGCCCCGGGGCCTCAGGCGGCTGCCTGGGGACACCACAGTCCAGCAGTGTGCTGGACTCTTCCAAAGAACCGTGACGGGAAGCAGATCATAGCTTGCTTTCTGATTTTTTTTTTTGAACTAAGAATAAATTGAAAGATTATACTTCAAGCAAAGAATGAAATGGCTTTTTTCCCATAATGGCCTTTTCCTCCCAAATGAAAGTGCGCTGCCAGCAAGGCCGATCTTAGCGCCACCTAATACCACTTGCACAGGAGCAGGGGTGTGCGCGGGGGATTCTGGGAAGCCACCCGGCAGCAGGCGGCATGGCTGGGCTGGGAAGCGCGCTCGCACCGCGGCAGGGCACTTACCAGCGCAGGGCAATCTTGATGGGGGTGGTGAGGCAGGACGTGAACAGGTCGGCTGGGAGGTCGGGGATCATGGGCAGGAGCTCGTGGGCCTCGCAGGCCGCCAGCTGGATGCAGTTCTTCATCGATGGGGGCAGGGGCATCTGGGCAAGGGGGTGGTTTGGGTTAATCGCGGCTACCTACGGGGAGAATGCAGGAAAAGACAGGCTTAGCTGGGGGTAAGGAGCTGGAGGGCCTATGGCAGTGGGGTTTGACCACACAGTCTTCGGGGGAGGCCTAATGGTAGAATCCTCTCCTGGAGAGTGAGTACGAGCCTGGGAACCCCCCAGGATCCTTCTCGCAGCAGAACATGGCTCTGCACAGCAAGCCTGCTTCCTCTGTGGCCCTGCCTGGGTGACCCTCACGCCGCCCCCCCCCCAGCCCCTGCCTGGGTGACCCTCACGCCGCCCCCCCCCAGCCCCTGCCAGCCCTGCGGAGTGTTTATGCTCAGCACTCCATCTTTAAGCTAGCACAGCCTTATTTAGGTTGTTTATGACAAGAAAGACGCTCAAGGTATTTGAAGTCAGCAACAAAGGCAAAACAGAAGACGTCAAATGACAGCTGGAGTGTGCCCGCCACTCCTCACTCCCCACGACCGAGGGACGCAGTGTGCGGGCACAGCGGGGCAGGTGGGGCATGTGCTCCTAGGGTCACCTGACTTCTCTGCGTGTTCTATACATGGATGTTCATTGATAACAGATGGGGGATAATTAGCTGCTTGACAGTCACCTGGATACCGTTTGGTTGTGGCAAAGGCGGTGTCACCCAGGTCTGGGAAGCAAGGCTCCAAGCTAATTAGTGCACACTAAGAGAATGCACACTTCTATTTCCTGACTTAATAGTCTAGTTAAAAGTGTCAATCTTGTTTTCTTGTTTGCTTTTTGAGAAGAGTCACGGCCTTCAAAGCTGGCCTTGAAATTGCAATCGTCCTGTCTCAGCCTTCTAAGAGCTGGGATTGCAGGTGTGCCAGCACACCCAAGCTGCCGAAGGGCTCCATCTCTTCACTAATGCAGCAGTCAGGTGTTTAAGCAGATGAGAGGCCTGGCTGACACTTGGCTCACCCAAACTGTCAGAGAACTGCCGCGTGCCCCCCAAGCAGCGGCACCCAAACCAACACCAGGCTGGACACTGTGAGCAAGGCTTCGCCCGTGCCACCTGGGACCACACCGGAACTTGTCACAGGCCTGCGCATCATTTTCAGAAAGAGTAAGCCTCACGAGAGCCCACAAGGTTTCACAGGAAGTATTCTAGGCGTGATGCCGGGGGTGGGGTGGGGGGTAGCATGTGGGCACACGGCTCTGCCCCTCCGGGGAGCACAGGTCAGCACCTCTCATCCATGAGGTGCCTTAGCTTGGAGAGGAAAGCGCGGGCGGCGGCCTCGGGACCTGGGACGGTGCAGAGGAAGGGAAGCCCCAGGAGCCCGAAACCACTCATCAGCCCACCAGAGAAAAGCGGCCTGCAGGGCAGGAGCAAAGGAAGGGAAAATCCTGAAGACGAGGTGGGTGGTGGGCTGCTGGAGAGACATTTGCATTTTCATCCGTTGGCCTAAATGACAAAGCTGAAGAATAACACATAGGTAGTGAAGATAATGAAACATTAACTCAGAAACTGCTGACTACACTTGCCCACACAGCCCTCGGGAGCCGCCCCCATCTCCCCTTCACTCGCCGATGTGTTCCATACACACCATTGGCCATAATGAAAAGTTATGCATTATGGAGCCCCAGTGTAATCCAACCCATCTTGGTTAGGGATTTGACGGAACACAGCTCCATCTCAAACCTGATCAGATGAAGCTGAATGCCAGCAAGAACCCGCTTCTATGTGGCTTTTATTCACGGTGCTGCTCTCCAGCAAGGATCTGGAAGACGGCACTGCGGGCTGCTCATCATCGGCCTCCAGGGCTTTTGTTACTGGTTACTTAAGTCCAGCCCAGGCTTGTGCTGCCATGGGGCAGACCCCACTGCACGCCGACCAGAGCAGTGGGGACGGCGCAGGGCCGGGCTTCCGAGCCAAGTGGGGAGCCTGCATTTCTGAGCAGGATGGTACACATCTGCCTCGTGACTTGCAGAGACTGCGTCCGCATCATCGTTTTTTTTCCCTCCTTACTGGCAGTGCCTTCTAGTTGTGTAGTTGGTAATATTTCTCAGCACTCTTTTGCATATTGGTATGCTCATTTGCTTTAAAACACCCTCACGAGCTAAGTCCGTTCTCAAAGATGTTCAGCAATGAGGAAATGGGCTTCGGGAAAGAAAACCACTGTCCATCTGTCTGTCTGTCAGGTTAACACAGGCCAGGGAGGCCAGCAGTGGCTCCTGACTGTGGGGCACTCTTCATTCCTCCATCTTAATCTGGACCTCCATGAGTCTATTCCAGGCACCTAGGATACCAAGGTTCCAAACAGCACATTCAATACCTTCAAGTGCAGTGTTCCACAACGTGTGCTGGCTCCTAACCAGCCAACCTGGTGACAATGGTGTGTAACACATTGTCATCATTTTTTTATTGTGGCAGTCGTGGGGCTTGAACTCAGGGCCTGGACTCTGTCCCTGAACCTCTCTGTGTTCAAGGCTAGCACTCTACCACTTGAGCCACAGTGCCACTTCAGGCTTTTTCTGTGTATGTGGCACTGAGGAATCGAACCCAGGGCTTCATGAGTGCTAGACAAGCATCCTACCACTAAGCAATATTCCCAGCCCCTGCACATTTATGTTTGCTGTAGTGTGTAGCATCTCAATCTGCTCAAATGGAATGTACTAACGGCTGCATGTTTATTAATAATCATTTCTACTACAGAAACAGAAAACCCAAAGTACAAATCATATACTTGTATATGCGATAGCAAAACCAATATAAATAAATTTTTTAATTAAAACTGCCATTTCTATGTGTAATATATTTTTTTCCTATGTGTAATATAATGTGCCATGTTAACGTGGGGGGGGGGAGGGGTGCTGGGCTAGACAAATATATTCTAGCCCTGTGCTAACAATTTTAAATGTACAGTTCCAAGTTTGGTGGCATTAAGTACCACCAACAATCAGTGGATTTTTTTTTCTTTTTTTAAAGAAGAGAGAAGGCAAGATTGCGTGTAAAACCATTTTCTGGGCTCTGGCTTTATAAGCTAAAATAGATCAACAAAGCAACTGGCTCTGCACAGGAAATTAGTTTCTGGTCTGTCGCATCAACCCTGCTATGCAGGCTGATGGGTCTGGGCACGATCTCATCCACAGCTCATCAGTCCTGAGTCATGCGGGGGCCACGCAGAAGCTCTGGCGTCTACGGCAGCATCAGAGTATGGCCCCCAAGGCCCTCTAGGGCTGGTGGGGTCGCTCCATGCCTGGGCTTGGTGGAAGAAGGCTGGGAAGGAGGGAACGAGGTGACATCTGCCCTGCGTGGGCTCTGCGAGGGCTGGGCACACTGGAGCAGACCCAGGTAGTCGTGAAATGTGAAAGGTAGCCTGAGAGATGTCTGGAACTGCTGGCAGACTGACATTATTTTAATAAGCACCACTAACTACCACTGAGCCTAGAAGTATAAAGATGGCTGACATGATTAAAAGGGACTTAACTGTAAGTGGGCAGCAATGGCCACTTATGCAACAGCTAAACTCAATATTCTTATTTTCCTTTTTAAAGGGCCAGGTATTCTCATAGCATAGAGCGAAAGGAATAGCGGTGTGCTCACTAGTGTCTCTACCAAGTTCTTCCACATGAAGTTTACTCACTAAACAGAGCTGAGAACGGCCCCACAGTTCCTCTTGCCACAAACTCCGAGGATGGCAGTTCTTTTGCCTTTGCTGTCTGTCTGCACAAACCTTCGGGAAGCTAATCCTCTGAAGAACCAGAGCGGCTTCTGACACGGGGCCTCTGCCAGGCTGCAGGCCTGGTGGCGCTGTCAGACACATGTGCCTAGCTGGCCGGAAGCCGGCCGAGGCTGTGGTGCTAGTGGGTGAGGTATACTGCACGGCTGTCTGCACCTCACCTGGTGCAGAACCGGGGGTAGACAGACTCCCTGCACTGCTGCCTGCTGCCTGAGAACACAAGACAGGAAGGCGCAGAAACATTTCCAACCCAGTGTGTGCATTAGGAACAGAATGTATGAAAAACCACGGATGGAAGGCCTAACCACACACACAGCCTGGGCAGGGGCTGGGTAGGAGGGAAGGAAGGCATGCTCTCGGGCCACAGGTGATCCTAAGTTCAGCAGCACAAAGCACCAGTGCCCTAGACCTGATGGTATCTGTCTGCTGGACTCAATGGGGTGCATTCACCACCCACACTATGGCCAGCTGCTCCAAACACACAGCAGAGCTCTTCCTCTGGGGCAGGCAGACACGAAGCCTTCGACAGCAACCACAGAAACACAGGCTGGCATTCTAGGAAAGGGTTCTGCCAATGAACATTACTTCTCAGTCTTGCTAAAATACAAAAAAAATCCCATTCCAACCCAAGTCACTTCCCACACATGGTTGCAGCTTCGATGTGTCGAAGGCACTGACCCTTTAATTGAAACAATTCTCCAAAAACAGCTTGCAGGCTAAGGCTAACTGCTCTAACTTGCTTGGAAAGGCTGCTAGGCAGAGCAGAGCCGTGAATACTCGGGCTGCAGCAAGGCTCCACAGAGCTGACCAAGCACATGTCCACGCGTGCAGCACCGCTGCCAAAGAGCCTTCTCCCAGAAAAATCGAGAGGCTTGAGCACCGGAATGATCTTCATTCTAAAAACTCCCCGAGACTTCTGGAGGACTTGGGAAGCACCCAGGAGAAGCTCTAGATGTGATTCTCTGCACCAGCCGTGACCCCTGCTGCCTTGCCCACACCCCTGGGCCCCATGGAGCCCAGGCTCAGGCTCGCGAGGAAGCAAGCAGGCGGCTTCCAGGCCTGTGGCCGCATGCTACAGGTGCATGCCCAGCTCAGGGCAGCACCCACACTTTTCTTTTCCCAACTGGCCACTAGCCTCAAGCAACTTCTGCCCCCTTTCTCATGCATATGAGACGTGTTTGTGGAGACTTAGGGGCACCCATAATTCAGGAGTCTTTAACAAGTGAAGAGACTCAAGACTATCATCTCTTGGACCATACTTTGAGCTCTGCCTTAAACCAGACTTGTTTCCATTCTCATTTCAACAACATGTCATTA